AATTCAAATGTGAGCAAATTCAGCTTTACATTTTTTTTTTAAATTATATATTTTAAACCATATATAATTAGAGTATAATAAATACACTAAATTACTTTTAAGAACACCCGTACATATAATATTAAATTTATTTTGGTGATTAGTACAATCAACTATAATTACTATCATTTAATTTTAAGAATTCCTAATATTTGATTCTTTTTTTTTAAAATGTTGAAGTCAGTAGTGACAATGAATTCAAAACTAATAGTTATATATAAAATACTTTTATACTATATATTCAGTACATGCAGTTAATTAATTAATTAATTGTATCAATTAATTTATATTCAAGGATAATTAAAATTTATTTTCATATAATTTAGTTTTTATTAAAAAAATTAAATTTATGAACAATTTGTTAATCAGATTAAAATAGATCCCACCAGAATTTATCTTTTTTTAATTTTTTATAAGTTTATTATATTTCTTATAATTCTGAAAAATTAATAACAAAGAGCCCAAATGTATAATAATCACATAAATATGATTTTGTTAATATAATATAAAAACTTTTTATTTGAAAGGAGCTGTTACAATTTCAAGTTGCTAATAATTTGTTCATTTCTTTTCCCTCACAAACCTCTTTTAACCCCAGGTGCTGGCGGTGGTGGTATTCCAATTGCAGATCGCAACCTCGAAAAATTCACCCGACTAGCCGGTGGTCGCTCGTAACTCGGCGGTTCGTGACTCGGTCCGGAGTATAATATTCGATTTGCATGACCAGGACTCCGCGGTGGTCGGTCGTAACTCGGCGGTTTTCGACTCGGCCCGGAGTACAATTTTCGATTTACATGATCAGGACTTGGCGGTGGAAGAAATGGGTTGGAAGAGGAGGGAGGTACTGGACCTCTTTGAAGCAATCCGAATTTCAGATCATGCTCTGCAACTGGCTCACAAGAACCGTATCTCAGAAAAACCAGAAGAACAATTCCCCACGCAATCCTTACAGCCATTGTTATGAATGCTTGGTACTGAATTGGGTTTCGAATATATAGGAATTAAATTAAGCCATTTGGTTAGAGATGTGGATTGAGGCAACGGAATCAAATCATCCCAGAAGAAGGAAAAAAAAAGAAAAAAAATCTCTCCAGATATAGTTGATTCCCCGTGTGATCCGGATGAATTACTATTGTCAGATACTGGTTTATTTACTTATTTAAAGGTTCATGTTTGAACTTTGGACCCAACTTCTTTTTATGTTGTAATTTTCATGGCTGTCTTTATTGAGTTAATGGTAGGTGATTAATGCCTTTTATAGTTATGTGGATAAGTATCATATGGGCGCATGCGGATGAATCGTGGAAGTGTTCTTTTTGGCCCTAACATTAATAACTTTTTCACCAAAAGATGGTGTTCAGTTTGATTCCCAATTCACAGTTTTACCAGAAAGAGTAAAAATAACAATCATCTAATCATTCTATGCGACAAAAATGGAAGTGACAATCATTCAATTAATAAATTCTAGGGTCAAAATGAATAAATTAATATACATATATTTATTATATTATGTGTAAATAAGTAACAGTTGCAAATTAAATATTTTTTTTTCTCTGTATTAGACGAAGAATATAAATCTAAAAGTGTTACTATATATATGTAAACAAAGATTATGTAGAGAAGAAAAAAATATTACCTTTAAATTTAATAAAACATTTCAATTCCACCTGTTTGAAAAGGGTTATTTTCCAAAGTTAATTTTAAGGTCAGGTTTCTTCAAGTTTACTTCATGATTTTTGTCTGTATAAATAGAGATCTCTGATTTTCTAAACGAACATTTTTTTCATTAAAAACAAGTATCATCCATGAGAGGACCATAAAATCCTTGGAGCAACTACAAATCAATCATCCACTGTCTCTGTTTTGTTCTATCAAAAAGAGCCTTTCACTATATAGATAATCAAAGTAAAAAAAAAAAAATATTATCCTTCAGATAAACAAAAGAATCTCAAACTCTCTGCTTATCAAGCACCTACTTTGGATAAACAGGAATTTTCCTACCATGATAAGCGATTTGCTAGAATTTTGCATATAGAAGTAAATTGCTATAATCAAAATGCCATAGCAATAAACGTACTTCACACTATACATGCTCCAGCTGCTGTTGCTTTTTACTTAAGCTTTCCCTTCATCCTCATTTAAGATACGATTCCGGAAATCGCTCACCATGAGAGGCAAACCCTCCCTCATATAGATTTTGGGCTCCCAGTTCAGCAGCTCCTTGGCTTTGCTGATATCCGGCTTCCTCTTATGTGGATCATCCGCGGTATTTGGCTTAAACTCTATTGTAGCACTTGAATCAATTGCTTCTTTCACAACCTGAGGAAGGGAAGAACAGCCACGGCGAAATATAGAATAAGTTACAGCATGCAACAGCCAAATGAGACTTTACTCTGTCACAAATACAAGAAGCATCATAAGGAGGAAAAACCTCAGCAAGCTCTAGCATGGTAAACTCCCCTGGGTTACCCAGATTGAAAGGTCCCACATGCTCACTTTCCATTAATGCAACAAGTCCTTCGACCTGTCATTGATAAAAGCCCTTTATCACAATCCTTCTTCTTTTCTAATAACAAGTGCTATCCAGTAAATAGTAGCAGTTTTCCTTTTTTTGAGTAAGTAGGCAACAAAAAGTGCTCGCTTTTATCATGCCTATTTTTTCACCTCTTTGTTCGCATTAAAAAATTGAAGCTCCCACGGAAAAAAAGAGCCGAACATACACAAAAATGTATGACAATATAAAAATATATATATAATACAATCATAAAGCACCAAAGGAATGCAACCAGTATAGAATAACATTTGATGTTACCAAGTCAGAAACATATTGAAAGCTTCTTGTTTGTTTCCCATCACCATAAACGGTCAGAGGTTGTTTGCGGATGGCCTGCAAGGTAGCCATTTGTCAGAAAACTTAAGGAATCAGTTAGTACGGTAATAGAATGGTAGCTGAAATTATCAGATGGGAGTACAAACCTGAGCAACAAAATTGCTAACAACACGTCCATCATCCAGACACATGCGAGGCCCATATGTATTAAAAATGCGAGCAATTCGAACCTGTAAGCAGCATATATCACAACCGGACCAGAAGTAACTGTTGGATATAGGTACATATATACAAGTCAATAAGTTCAAAGGTGAGGAGCCATGAGACTGTTTTAACTCTCACTGAAGATGGAACTTTTTGCAACACAGAGCAACCTGAAATTCATGTCAGTATAAATCCAGATTCAAGCTTGGTTAACTTACAGGAACTGGCCAGTGATCTCTCAAAAGTGGCAACTGGTTTGACAAATTTCTCAGCCTTTTTTTCAATCTCAACCAACTTTACCAACATTCGTTCACTTGCACCCCTAGTTTTACAATTAACTGTGTTCTTGTCCTAGGTTGAATATGACTGGAAAATCAGATATCCAATACATAATTTGTCAAGTTAGAGCTTTATAGTTAAGGAATGGACGACCAAAGCTGTGTTTGCATTGTGATACACGCTCTATGCCAAATCCACATCATACTCGCAAGATAACCAGTTCGGGTATCTTTTGTTTTTTTTACTGCTTAAGGAATGCAAATAAACATGATGGAATCTAGTATCAAAAAGTGAAATTAAATGGACAGTCTCAGGGAAGAAAAAGGATCACCCTGCCATGGACGCCCAAATATTTATTCTTAATACTACATGTAAATATAAATATAAATCAAACAGAAATAAAAGTAAAATCTTTAGCTAACAGCTTTTATGCACCAAATTCCAGGATTGGCCATAATTTAGTACCCTTGTGAATAACTCTGATCAGTTAGGGTTGGTGAGTTGGGGATTTGTAACATGGCAAGAGCCAAGACACATTCGTTCATAAAGTTAGTAGACAAATACTAAAGATAACAATGCAGATATCTCTATACCGGTAATTTATTAGGAGCAAAACTCTTACCTCCACATCTGCACCTCGATGATAATCCATTGTTAAGGTTTCTGCTGTCCGTTTTCCTTCATCATAGCAGCTCCTCTCACCTAAGCAAGT